AATTGATGCTTTTGAACTGTGGTGTTGGAGAAGACTCTTGAGAGTCCCTTGGACTGCAAGGAGATCCGACCAGTCCATCCTAAAGGAGATCACTCCTGGGTGTTCATCGGAAGGACTGATGTTGAAGTTGAAACCCCAATACTTTGGCCATGTGATGCAAAGAGCTGACTCATTTGAAAATACCCTGATGCTGGGAAAGATTGAGGGCAGAAGGAGAAGGGGATGACAGAAGATGAGATGGTTGGATGGCATGACTGACTCGATGGACATGAATTTGAGTAAACTCCGGGAGTTGGTGATGGACAGGGAGGCCTGGCGTGCTGCAGTCCATGGGGTCACAAAGAGTCAGACACCGAGGGATTGCACTGAACTGACTGAATCTTCTTTAGAGTGGCTTGAGATTTTCCATAATAAAAAGCAGACAATAACAATGAATAGGGGCTTCCCTGGTAGCTCAGATGGTAAAGAATATGCCTGCAATGCAGGAGACCAGGTTTTAATCCTTGGGTTGTGAAGATCCCCTGGAGAAGGGAGTGGCAACCCACTGCATTATTCTTGCTGGCAGAGGAGCCTGGCAGGCTACAGTCCATGAGGTCGCAAAGAGTCGGACACGACAGTGACTAACACTTCCAACTTCTAACAATGAAATCATGCTACCCAGAGAGAGAACACTCTTAATACTTTGGTGTGATTCTTTTGGGAATTACAAATATATTTCCTACCATGTGTAATACTGTATGAAGATTTGTATTACATACAATACTACTTATATTGTATTAGTCTGTTAATGCTGCCTCTCTTAAAACATATCTTTACATATTCACTTGTTAATAAATATCCATTACAATATTTAATTCATAACCCTAACCTATACTTTATTTATTTATTTTTAAACTAATTAATATTACTTCTTAATTTTGACTGCATGTGTCCTTGCTGCCGTGTGGGGCTTTCTCTAGAGAGTGGGGTCTACTCTCTAGGTGTGAGTCTCAGGCTGCTCACTAAAGTGGCTTCTCCAGCTGCAGAGAACGGGCTCTAGGCGAGAGGGCTTAGAGGTCTGGCGGCATGTGGGGTCTTTCTGGAGCAGGGACTGAACCCATGTCCCCTGCGCTGGCAGGCAGATTCTTAACCATTGGACCACCAGGAAAGTCCTAACCCTTACTTTTATTTATTTACTTATCTTTTCTAACCCTTACTTTTAGATACATGGGTTGCTTGGAACGTTTCACAGTTAAAGATAAAGTGGTGATAAACATCCTGTATTAAATCTCTGTGTGTAACTTTAATCGTTTCTTTAGAATACATTTCTATAAATTGCTGGGGGGCAGGTTGCATACTTTCAAGGCTCTGATATATACCCAGTTCTACCAGTTTCCCCGTGCACTGTTGCTCCACGGAGAGTTTTCACCCAGGTACCTCTTTAAAAACTAGCTTGACTTATTCAATTAGCACAATGTACATAGCAGGTGTTAAAAAAAAAAATCACCAGTGGTTACAATCTATGTTTAGTAAACAGTTATATTAGAAGGATTAACTTCTTTACCAAAGGATTAACTGTGTCTCTCTTTAAAAGTGAGATTCTACTGAACATTTCTAGTGTACCTAAATTCACAGGAATGTAGTATATGAATCATTTATGACAAGACCCAGAGAATTCCCTGGTGGTCCAGTGGCTAAGACCTTGCCTTCCGATGCAGGGGATGTGGGTTCGATCCTTGGTTGAGGAACAAAGACCCAAAGACCCCACTTGCCTCGCAGCCAAAAACAAAAAGAAAAACAAACATAAAACAAAAGCAATATTGTAGCAAAGTTAATAAAGGCTTATAAAAAATGATCCACATCAAAAAAAAAAATCTCAAAACAAGCAAACAAATCTTCAAACCTAAGACCCATCCATCTTTTATTTTCTGATTCTTGCAAATTTCTGAGGTGAGTATCCTCTATGACCTTTGCTTCTCTCATGTTCACCACTGCCTGGAGCAATTCTGCCCAGTCTGGGTCCCCTCCCAGGCTGTCTGTGGAGCCCAGTAGGTTTTCAGGATGCACAACTGCTGATGCTGAGTGTTGAGTGCACAGTTTAATGAGGGTGTTGTGGCCTCTTTTCATGATCTGTACACTAGTCAGTACTCAATGGACAATCCCTTTGCCTCCCTCTGTGCTGGTCAGTAGGGTCTCCATCAGGCTGTCTTCTTTCTGGGAGGAGACTAGCCCTATCTCCACTTCAGGAGTCTCAAGGTAACATGGTCTGACTTAGCTGGTAGCCCATTCTCAACACCTGCCATGTAACGAGATCTTGACCTCCCTAATACCCAAGGCATCCCCCACTCTGTGCGACCCTGTGGCCTGTAACCCACCAGGCTTCTCTGTCCATGGGATTTTCCAGGCAAGAACACTGGAGTGGGTTGCCATGCCCTTCTCCAGAGGATCTTCCCAACGCAGGGATCAAACCTGGGTCTCCTGCATTGCAGGTGGGTTCTTTACCAACTGAGCCACCAGGGAAGCCCAAGAACACTGGAGTGGGTAGCCTATCCCTTCTCCAGGGGAATCTTCCTGATCCAGGATTCGAACCGGGGTCTCCTATCCTGCAGATGGATTCTTTACCGACTGAGCTACTGGGAATCTGGGCTTCCTTGCTGCCTCAGACGGTAAAGGACCCTCCTTGCCGATGCAGGAGACACAGGTTAGATCCCAGGGTNATTTTTTTTTTTTTTTATCACTAGCACCACCAGGGAAGCCCAGTAAATGTATAGGTCTCTATAATATATAAATTTTTATTAATCTCTATCAGTTCCAGTTTGAGCTACTCTCATTTTGCCAATACCTACTTTTAAAAAATTATATATACATATATAATTTTAAATATTTATTTATTTGGCTGTACCAGGTCTTAGTTGCAGCATGCAGAATCTTCAGTTACAGCATGTAGGATCTAGTTTCCTGACCAGGGATCAAACGCAGGATACTAGCATTGGGAGCATGGAGTCTTAGCTACTGGACCATCAGAGAAGTCTCCCTACTTTTTTTTAAATCTGCTTTTATCTTATGCTGCCTTGAATTTTATTTAGGTTTATATGATCTTAGTTTCTTTTTTGATAAATGGTATATTAAAAATATAAATAAATTATTAAGCTGAGAAAAGACTCCTGATGAGGATGAGACCACATCTCTCTGCCTGGGGGTCTGGTAAGGGTGGTACTTTCACTGTTTCCTCTCAGAAAGGATGCAACAATTTATAATATCTCCCCAGAGAAGCTCACGCTGGGGTTGAGAGTCCTGCTTTACAAGGGTTATGAAATGCTGAATGGGTCTAATAGGGGAGAAGTAACTGAGTTCAAGTTTAATCTCCCTAGTTCCCTATGATGGTAAACAACAGGACATCGCTGTTTCTTAAGTGCTTGCATGTGTCGTTGTCACATGTAATTTTCAGTCTCTAGGAGAAACAACCAAGACTGTGGATCATAGCAGTGAACTAACTTTGCCAAGATCAGCTAGTAAACGGCAGGCAATACCTGGTCTGGAGTCCTTTGGCCAGGCTCAGGGCCTCTCCCACCTCCCTGATCCACAAGGAAATCCTTTGATAAGGCAAGGAGGGTGGGATCCAGAGAATAACACACCCACAAGGCTGTCAGCCGGTCCTTTCAGCTTGGAAAGGAAGCTACTGAGATGGCCATTCTGAATTCTGGCCAGGGCGGGGATGGAGGTGGGGGTGGGGGTTCCCTTCTATATTGTCAAGCTCTCTAGGATTCCCAGGGAGTCACTAGGAGGTTAAATCACCCTGTGTGTGTGTGACAACAAAAAATGATCTATGTCCTTTTTTTTTTTTTGACCATGCCACACAGCATGTGGGATCTTAGTTTCCTGACCAGGGATTGAACCTATATCCCCTGCATTGGAAGCGCAGAGTCTTAACAATTGGATCCCCAGGGAAGTCCCAGGAAATGATCTGTGGGGCAGGGCAGAAGGAAGGAAGCTGACCCACCAAGCAGTGTGTGTTTCACTGCTAACCCAGAAGCCAGCTCCCAGGAGACCAAGTTCTTAGTCACTTAATTCTCCTAAGGCCACTTAAATAATCTACAGTGACCCTGCCTTTGAACCCAAGGCTGCCAGACTGCCAACTCCTCCTTCTAGCCTTCTCCACTATCATCAGGCAAGATTCCAGGGTTGCCTATGGGGGTGGTTCCTCTTGCCCCTCGCTCTTCTCACTTAACAAGAATCCATCCCTGCTTTCCATTTTGCTCGGCTCATAGCACAGACCCCAGGCAGAGCCTTGCAGGGAATAACCAGTGAGACTCTGTGCCCCTCCTGGAGCCTGGCAGGACAGTGACTTTTGATAAATGTTATATTAAAAACATAAATAAATTATTAAGCTGAGAAAAGGAGCTCTCACTTTCTGAGCAGGCGACTCCAGCCCCGTACCGCACCCCTCCCTCGGGGCAGGCCACGTCCTCTCCGTCGTGCCGGCAGTGCGCCAGGGACAGCTCCGTTCCCGAGCACTTCACACCACTCATGACCACCTTGTTGGCGTTGATATTTCCATGCCAGTACCAGGTCTCCTGCATGAACCAACAACAACAAATAGCTAACACATCACCTTGAATTGTCACTTTTCCACATTCTATCAAATTTCAGCCTCACCAAAACCCCCAAGGCTTTATGATCCCATTTTTCAGATGGAGACAGCCAAGACACAGTCACTTCTTTATGATCCCATTTTTCAGATGGAGACAGCCAAGACACAGCCACCCAAGTCATGCAGTTTGTTGGTGGCAGCGCAGATGGGGCCCACCCCCTGCACTTGGATTCTGCCCCTCTCCCCTTTTGGAAAGCACAGCTGAGACTGTGCTCAATGCTGTGTATCAGAACAGCAGCGGTACTGCCTGCCCCCTCCTCCCGAGCCCTGGGCAGACATTACTAATCTATCTCAGCGCTCTCCTCTAAGCCTGACTGTGCTCTCAGAATCCTTCTCAACACTGTGCTCCAGGGAGACACCACCAACTGATCAGGATTGGCAGGAGAGAAGAAATCTAGTCACATTTGTCAACAGTTCCATCTTCATACATCTCATTGGTTCTGTTTTTCTAGAGAACCTACACACCCCTCATCCTCTAGAGAGAAAACTGGGGCCTTGGGAAGGGATAAGGCTTGCAATCAGGACACTGAGGTCAAGGGTAGGCCCATCTCACAGCCTCCACTGTGAGAATCAGGTGTCTTAGGAAAGAGCTGAAAGGGAACAAAAATAGCTAGATGGCCACTCTGTTGCAATGAGCGCCATTCTCCTACACTCCATGGAGAACCAGCGAGTGCCTTGGCTGGTCATAAGCAGGATCAGCAGAAACATGACGTGGCTGTGCAAAGTCAGGCTTCCAGAGGGCCCTGGGTACCAGAAGCCTGCCCCTTCCTTCTGGATGGTTTGGGGAGTTGCCACAAGCCTGCCTGGCTGAGTTCTCCCATGTTCGCTACTAAGAAACCCCTTCCTCAAGCAGCCACCCAGGGCACCCGGGCTGAAGTCGGGTTAGCAAAGTGAGATGGGGGTGCTCCGGACATTTTCCTATTCTGGGAGAACCTTAAGAAAGGTGTTTATAGCTTGGATACTGAGGGCCTGGGACTATTTATTCCATGTTCACAGAGGCTGGGAAAGGTGGCAGGTCATTATGGAGCCAGCTGGTGGGGGTCCAACTGGGAAGTGACCTCCGGCCTCCTGGCTCCCAGTCCTCTTGCCCCTGGCCTCTTTCCAACAATGTTCCATCCGAGGATGGGGTCCAGAGGGCAATGATTTTTTAATCCAAAGCACCACTTATCTTTCTTCTGTTCCTTTCGGATGGAGTGGGAGCCTAGCTGCCCTTGGCTGAGTCCCTCCTGAGCTGGCAGCAGGAGGAGTGTGCAGCGGCTCTGAAAGGGTCCTGAAACAAGGCTTGGGGACCTGCCAGCCAACCAAGGAGAGGATGCATGGATGTGGACAGAGCGAGGAAGCATGTTGTGGGAAGAGGGGCTGGCAAGGGAGCAAGCTAAGACAGGGGTCCCCAGCCCCCTGGTACTGGTCCGAGACCTCTTAGGAACTGGGCCACTCAGCAGGAGGTGAGTGATGGGTGAGTAAGCGAAGCTTCATCTGCCTCTCCCCATTGCTCTCCATCGCTCACATTACTGCCTGAAGCATCCACCCTGCCCCGTCCCTGTCTGTGGAAAAGCTGTCTTCCACAAAACCATTCTTTGATGCCAGAAAGGCTGAGGACCACCGAGCTAAGGCATCTGGGGTGTTGGGTTGGGTGGTCTCCACATGCGCCCCCATAGGACTGAGTGGCTTCCCCCTGCAAAAGGCAGGTCGGGACACCCCAGAATGAGCCCCTGACATGGCCAAGCCCAGTGCACAGAGCTGAGACCCGAAACCAGAGTGCAGAGAGCGCGTGACCCACGCAAGGACTTGGGGCTGCAGGGGGCAGAGCAATGGAGGACAGGATGAGGTTTTTCCTCCAAGTCCATGGCTCTCTACCTCCTCTTGAGGTAGGCAGAGTCACAGAAGGTGGGGGCTGACGACAGATGGGTAGGATTGGACTGGATGCAGGGTTCAAGGCCCTGCCCGGCAGGGTGGGGGTGGGGGCTTCTCACCTGGAAGGCATTGCTGGCAAACCCCAGGCCTAGCTGCCGGCAGACGACCATGGCCTCCACAATGCCCCAGTTCTCGCCGCACACCATGCCCCACACGAGGGACCCGTTCCTCTCCACCAGCACCTCCACTCGGCCCTCGTAGGGGTTTCGGCCCCCGTTCAAGCGCAGCTGTATGGTGGGGGTCCAACTGGGAAGTGACCTCCGGCCTCCTGGCTCCCAGTCCTCTTGCCCCTGGCCTCTTTCCAACAATGTTCCATCCGAGGATGGGGTCCAGAGGGCAATGATTTTTTAATCCAAAGCACCACTTATCTTTCTTCTGTTCCTTTCGGATGGAGTGGGAGCCTAGCTGCCCTTGGCTGAGTCCCTCCTGAGCTGGCAGCAGGAGGAGTGTGCAGCGGCTCTGAAAGGGTCCTGAAACAAGGCTTGGGGACCTGCCAGCCAACCAAGGAGAGGATGCATGGATGTGGACAGAGCGAGGAAGCATGTTGTGGGAAGAGGGGCTGGCAAGGGAGCAAGCTAAGACAGGGGTCCCCAGCCCCCTGGTACTGGTCCGAGACCTCTTAGGAACTGGGCCACTCAGCAGGAGTTGAGTGATGGGTGAGTAAGCGAAGCTTCATCTGCCTCTCCCCATTGCTCTCCATCGCTCACATTACTGCCTGAAGCCTCCACCCCGCCCTGTCCCTGTCTGTGGAAAAGCTGTCTTCCACAAAACCATTCTTTGATGCCAGAAAGGCTGAGGACCACCGAGCTAAGGCATCTGGGGTGTTGGGTTGGGTGGTCTCCACATGCCCCCCATAGGACTGAGTGGCTTCCCCCTGCAAAAGGCAGGTCGGGACACCCCAGAATGAGCCCCTGACATGGCCAAGCCCAGTGCACAGAGGTGAGACCCGAAACCAGAGTGCAGAGAGCGCGTGACCCACGCAAGGACTTGGGGCTGCAGGGGGCAGAGCAATGGAGGACAGGATGAGGTTTTTCCTCCAAGTCCATGGCTCTCTACCTCCTCTTGAGGTAGGCAGAGTCACAGAAGGTGGGGGCTGACGACAGATGGGTAGGATTGGACTGGATGCAGGGTTCAAGGCCCTGCCCGGCAGGGTGGGGGTGGGGGCTTCTCACCTGGAAGGCATTGCTGGCAAACCCCAGGCCTAGCTGCCGGCAGACGACCATGGCCTCCACAATGCCCCAGTTCTCGCCGCACACCATGCCCCACACGAGGGACCCGTTCCTCTCCACCAGCACCTCCACTCGGCCCTCGTAGGGGTTTCGGCCCCCGTTCAAGCGCAGCTGTGGAGGGAAAGGAAGGCATGGTCACTGGGAGGGGAAGGCAGGTTGATGCCCCACTATGGTACTGCCTTCAGTCTCAATCTCCCCAAGGCAGGGGGTCCTCCTGCGACACAGAACCCTGGCATCACTGAGCACCTACTGTGTGCCAGGCATCGTGCCCAGCAGGGTCTTCTGCATTAGGTGCCCCTCCCCTGCCCTCCCGCAGCCATCCTAGGACCCTAGAGGCCAATGCAGCTGGGGAGACCCACTGACCCACTATAGACCCACTGACCTCACAGTAGAATCTGCTTCTGCTGCCCATGGGCCCACCAGGGGGGTGGGTCTCAGATCAGATACTTGGAAAGGTGCAATAAGGAGCCTTAAAATGGTAGAATGCCCCAACTCTTTCTGGGACCATTTCCTCCTCCCCACACCCTCTCCTGTACCTGGGTTCCAGCTCCTGATTGCATCTCCTCCCACAACACCCCCTGCTGTCCTTTCTAGAAGAACTCTTACTTGACAGTCCCACCTGGCACCTCGGAGACCCCAAATCTAACTGGTCCTCTTTTTCTCTCTACCCCTAAGCCTGTGCTCGACCTCCCCCTCATTCTCTATTTCAATGAAAGGCACTGCCACCTCCCCAGGGGCAGCAAACCATGTAGGGTGAATGCAGGGACCACAATGTGTACACAGCTGTGTGCCCAAGAAGCCATATTTACAAATACAGGCAGAGGGATGGATTTGTACTGCAAGCAACTGTTTGCTGATCCTGAATCTATTCTGTTACACAAGCCAGAAATCTAGGAGCAAGTTTCAACATCGCCCTCATTCTTATCCCTTACATCAGGGGCTCCCAACCAACCCCCTCCACCCCTGCCTGTTAGGAACTGGACTGCACAGCAGGAGATGAGCAGCGGGACAGCAGCGAAGCTTCACATCTATATTTGCTCCCCATTGCTCTCCCATCACCCCCAGATGGACCGTCTGGTTGCAGGAAAACAAGTTTAGGGCTCCCACTGATTCTGCATTATGGTGAGGTGTATAATTACTTCATTATATATCACAAGGTAATAATAATGAAATAAAGTGCACAATAGAGGTAAGGCACTTGAATCATCCAGAAACCATCCCTCCCCCACCAACCCATCCTGGTTGATGGAAAAACTGTCTTCCATGAAACTGGTCCCTGGTGTCAAAAAGGTTGAGAACTGACTACATCCCATCAGAATCTCCCTCCATGGATTTTATCTCCCAAGTCCCTCCCACTCACACTCGTCCCTCCAGCTCCATCTTACCCCTCTTCCCAGGCACCATCGCCTCTCGCCTGAAACAGCCCTCCTCACCCCCCTCCCCCTGCCTCTCCTCTTGCCTTCACTGACCTGTTCTCCCTGCAGAAGCCAGAGTCACTTCTGAAAAACACCCGATCACGTTCCTCCCCTAGAACACATCCGTGGTTTGCTTCACTACTTCCCTCCTCACCCTCATCACATGTCTCTCTGCTCCCTGTTCTCCTACCTCCAGGCACACGGCCTCCTTTCAGTTTCCATGGCGACCTAACTCTCCTGACCAAGTTACACAGAAACTCTCATTTCACACTGAAGTCTGTTACATACAGAGGCCCCTTTGCTTTTGGCTGGTCCCACTCATCTTCCCAATTCTATAGCCAATGTGGCACCTCTCTCCAATGGGGGTCAGTGCCCACTTACAGTCTCTCTCGACATCTCCTTCTTAGCATTCTTGACAATTATAATTAAGCTAATTTATAATTTTACAAATTAACGGCTGCCTCTCTGATGATATATAAGAGCCAAAGAGCAGAGCTGTGTTGGTGGGTTCACTAGGGGATCAATAACCAAGACAGCACCTCTCAGATGTTAAGTATGCACCACAGCTCCTTTTGGAATGGATGAATACAACACCAGGCTTACAGAACGAAAGCATATGGACCAACACATGAGCCCAAGCCCATAAAGGGAAGCAGGATAAGGTATTTGGATTAAGGACTGGAATTTGGGGGAGGGACTCTGAAAATGCAGTCCTTAATCCAAATACCTTATCCTGCTTCCCTGTATGGTTCTAACAATTCATCCCTTTGAGATAAGACTTAATACTCCAGGAATCTTCAGCTGTTTGTTTGCCAGTCCTTAGCAACAGAACAACCCTTAAGTCATAGGTCTTAATTCTTACGGACTTGGGGGCTGGGAAGGTCATGGAGGTCAGCCGGCAAACAGACAAGCCGAGGGCAGTCCTGACCTTAGATCTATCTACCAGGGCTGAGCCGATGCATAAATGGCATATATGGTTCCTGTAAAATGCTCAAACAGGACCTGGCACTCAGGGAGTGCAGACAAACCTCAGACATCATCACAGCAATGATCGTCATTAGGGTGGGAGTCCCAGCAGAAAGCAACCTTTCTTCAGAGGACCTAGAAGAGGTCAGAGCAGGTAGGAAGAGGGCTGGCCCTCAGAAGACTGACATTTGTCTTCCTGAGTGCCTCTGGGCTGGAGGAAACCCCAGTCCAGTCGCTGGACATTGGCTATGGATTGCACATCACCTTTGACTAACATATCTTTGCTGTTGTTGTTTTGCCACTCTTGTGACCCCATGGACTGTAGCCCACCAGGCTCCTTTGTGCATGGGATTTCCCAGGCAAGAAAACCAGAGTGGGTTGCCATTTCCTTCTCCAAGAGATCTTCCCAACCCAGGGATTAAACCTGCATCTTCTGCATTGGCAGGCAGATTCTTTATTGCTGAACCACCAGGGAAGCTGGATCTATGTAAAAACAAATAAACAGGCAGAGCCATGCAGAAAGTCCTAGAAAGGCCTGAGCCTCAATGGGAGGCAAGCCAGCCAGCTCCAACATCCACAGGAAGGCCAGCAGCCCTTGGGGAGGTGTACCTTCAACCCACTGGGATGTCTCCAAGTATCTTCAAGCCATCCCCTCTGCTCATTTGCGATCTATTGAATACCTGTATTTCATCCTTTATGTGCTTACTGAACTCTGCCAGCAATGTTGGCATCTCCTCAGAAATGAATTGTGTGTAATTCACCAGATCCATTTATTCATCCAGTATTTATTTGGCTTTTATGATGTGACAGGAGCGGGCTTCCCAGGTGGCTCAGTGGTAAAGTATCCGCCTGCAATGCAGGAGACTCAGGAGACGCGGGTTTGATCCCTGGGTTGGGAAGATCCCTTGGGGGAAAGAATGGCAACCCACTCCAGTATTCTTGCCTGGAGAATCCCATTGACAGAGGAGCCTGGCAGGTTACAGCTATGAGGCTGCAAAGAGTCAGACAGGACTGAACTGATTTAGCAGGCACGCACGAGACAGGAGGAGTGCTGGGAAATTCACAGGCAAACTCTCAGAGCGCTTACCATGTCCCCCGCCCTATGTAAGCCCTTTATGGACATTCGGTCCTCACAGCATCCCTAGGAGGCAGTGGTACCCTGTTATCCCCATTTCACAAATGAGGGGAGTCTCAGATGGATTAAGCATCTCTTCACTACCATACTAGACCACCTCCAAACTATCCACCTAAGCCCGCTTCTTCAAGGGTGCTTTTGTCTCAAAGTAGGAATCACTGAGCCAGAACAGAGGACCAAATTGGTGCCTTACAGTCAGGATAGAGAACTCCTCCTGCTGGGAGGTTGGGGTCCTGAAGCTTAGGCCCCATGTTCTGAGGCCTTTATAGTAAATCCCCTACATAGGAAGTAAATCCCCTTCAAGTTGCAGATTTTCAAGGATGCGAATGTGCCCATGCATGCCAGCTGCCATACTGTACTACTGTATTTTCAAGGTACTGTACAAGAGTAAAAATGTTTTCTTTTTTGTTTGTTTTTTATGTATTATTTGTGTGAAAAGTATCATAAACCAATTACACTACAGTACTAATAAATAGCCAATTGCACTAGCCTGGGTACCCAGGCTAACTTTGTTGGACTTACAAACAAATTGAACTTACAAACCCACTCTGGGAACAGAACTGGTTTGTATGTATTGTCCATTGGAGTCAGGCTGGGTCCTGAGGCTTAGGATACTAAAGCTTTAATCACTAAAGTGTTAATCACTCAGTTGTGTCTGACTGTGACCCCATGAACTATAGCCTGCCAGGCTCCTCTGTCCATGGAATTCTCCAGGCAAGAATACTGGAGTGGGTTGCCATTCCCTTCTCCATGAATCACTAAAGCACTTAATTTTGTGCCTTGTGGAAACCATCTCGGGTTGCTTGCATCCTGATTTAGGGAGTCTGGAGCCTTCCCTCTCTTTGGGAAGTCCAGATCCTCTCCCCTTCCCCTCGGCGTGGTTTCTGAGTCCCAGCACCAAGGCTGGTGGAGCTGCAGGCCTGCATAGAGGTGCACCCTGGGGCACCGGAAGCCATAGGCAGGGGCCCCTGCTGGGGGCTAGGTTAGCACTGAAGTTCAGAATGTCCCTGATAGCTTAGGTGGTAAAGAATCCACCTGCAATGCAGGAGACCTGGGCTCGATCCCTGGGTTGGGAAGATCCCCTGGAGAAGGGAAAGGCTACCCACTCTAGTACTCTGGCCTGGAGAATTCCATGGACAGTCTGTGGGGTCACAAAGAATCAGACACAACTGAGCAACTTTCACTTCACTCAGAATGCCAGTGGGTGGTGCTGATGGATAATTGGGTTTATTATTATTTTTTATTTCGCTAGGGACTGTGCCCTGCCTTATTGATTGCACTGGGGTCAGCTAGCTCCCTCTGCTGCCCCTCTCCTAGCACCTCCCCCCCAAAAAACAGACTTCATTTTATTTCCCTAAAGTCTGCAAAAATTCGGATTGGGGAGCCTGAAGAATTCTGAGTCCAAATTTTTTCCTGCTACCAGCGGGCAGCGGGCTCCCAAGTTTGAGTCTCAAAATGAAGACTTGAGTCTTATATGAGACTCACTTATACTGAGTCTCAATATGAAGGCTCCTGTCTCTAGGGCTCTCTTTGGGAGGGCCCCTGTCCTTTGTCCCCCACTGTCTGTGCAGCCCAGGTTGCTTGGCCAGGTGTCCCTGTCCTAGGTTCTAGAGCCAACGGGAGTCTGAGAGGCTCTGGCTGAAGAACGTGTCTGTACACTGACTCTGAGGCAAGGAAAACATAAGGCCTTCAGTGGGAGCTGGGGCGTCTCCTTGAGACACTTCCTAAAGCTCCAGGCTGTGGCCGAGCTGCCAAGGCTGAGCAGGCCTGGAGCAACCTCCGTAACAGGGGCAGGGTTTCACAGCCCCTGGAAGAATCCAGGCACCTCAAGATGTTTTGGGGGCCTTTTCTCGTTTCCTAGAGGAGACTGGGGGTTGCAAGAGAGGCTGGCCATGAAGTTCAAACTCAGCCCAATACATAGCTCTCCATTCCCAGGGCTCCACTCCTGGGCACCCCATTCCAGAAGTGGCCTGGCTCGAAGTTCCAGTATCCATGGAACCCCAAGAGATCTCAGGGTCAGCCAGGAGCCTCTGGCCCACACCCTCTCCACCTCATTACCCCTCAAGGATGCCAGGGGAGGTCCATCCTTCTCCAGATTTCTTAAAACAATCCCAGGCATTTCTTTTTTCCTGTTCCTGTGTTTCTTGGTGGCAGCAGTATGCGGTTTGAAAGAAGGGAGTGACGTGCAGGAAGCATGAATAGAGAAAACAAAACACCTACCTCCAGCCAGTGGGGCATGGCGAAGCGGCCCTGTGTTTTGATAAGGTTACGGCTCACCAGTCCCTCACCTGTTTTTGGAGGTGGCAGGTAGGAAGCGAGGTAACAGGACCCAGGTGTTAACAGGCAAGCAAGATTGGGCACTCTCCAACTCACATTCCACACGTGGGCATGGTCCTGCCACCCAGACGGGCCAGGCCCACAGTTCAGAAGAGAATCGGAGGTCAGTAAGGCCGCCAGGGGACCCAGTGTGGACTAGCTCACCTGGGAAACCCACCTGCCACCCCCTGAGCCTCTCCACCTTGGCATGTCTCCCCAGCAATGAAAGAAACACAGCTTGGCTGTGGCTGGCTGGATGACACCTCCCAGTTTCATGTCTGTGAGTTTTATTTATTAGTCATTCAATAAAAAGCCAATTTCTTAAAGAACTGGGGGTTGGAAGGCAAGCTAGGAGTCTCCTCGCTCACCTCCTTATTTTCCAAGGAGGAAACGGAAATCTGGGAGACTAGTTAAGGAATCAGCCAGTGAATGACAGGAATGAACTGACTTCCCAGTCTTTGCGACCCCATGGACTGTAGCCCGCCAGGCTCCTCTGTCCCTGGGATTCTCCAGGCAAGAATACTGGAGTGGGTTGCCATTTCTTCCTCCAGGGAATCTTCTTACCCAGGGATCGAATCTATGTCTCCTGCATTGGCAGGCAGATTCTTTACCACTGTGGATCTTTTACTACCGGGGAAGGAAGCCCTCTCAGGGGATAGAAATGGCCAGATTCAGGCATAAAGCTTTCCCACACCCCACGCTTGAGCACAGGGCTCACCTTCTAGAGCCTGAAGGGCCCCTGAAAGGATGAGGGTGTTTTGTGCTAGGAGTGTGGCGCCCCCACTGGCATGACTGGGCACACAGCCTGGCTCAGCTCCACCCACCATAAAGCCCTTGTGGAAAACCTCATTTTCTTTGGCCTAGGGCTTTCATTTGGGTTGAAAGCCCCATTCCACCCAAGTCCAATCTGTCTGAAGTGAATGGTACCCCAGTGCACGGGACTCTTGGCACGCCAGCTTTTAGAGCTCTATTATGGCTTTTTTGGAATGCTGCTCAGCAATTAGAGATGGCAAGCCTTTCCCGCAGCTGTGGGGCTGTGGCCCACACCCCTGCTCACTTACAAGCAAATGTCTGGCTCGGCGGAGAGCTATCGAGTTCACGTTTTTAGCCCCATGGGGCAGTAAGCTGCTGTGGCTGACCAGTTCAGTAGTGCCTTTGACATGATGATGCCAAGGTCAAGAAGCGGTGTCAGAGCCTGGCTAGAGAGTCATCCTGTACCCCAACATGTCTGCATTTGCTTATTTAAAAAAATAAGCCCTCAAGAAGCTCTTCCAATTGTGCCAGCCTGGTGACCAAATTCATGGTTTAGCACAGAGCATTAGACAGGATGTACTGGGGCTTTTTGGAGGATGGGCTAAATCTCCTAGCAAAATCCTGTTGGTTATCCCTGTGGGAAAAGTCACCCATAAGGGGGTACATGATGCAGGTTTTTAGAGACCCTGTCTTAGGAAGGGAGGGGTGTGTATCAGATATAACGCTGTTAAGGTTTCCTTTTCTTTCCCTCTGGAAACCGAAGTACAGTCTTCAGTCCCCAAGTACTGTCTACATCGTGCTTACATCTGTGTGCTTTAGAGACCAGCTGTGGTTCCTCTGGGTCCTTGGAAAGGGCCATTGCCAAGGGGACCACAGGTGCTGCAGTCCTTGAATCCTTTGAAGGAAGCACTGCATTGCAATCACACTGTATGTCCGGCCACAGAGTACGGCGGGGCACACAGAGGATCCCCAACATCTGAGGACAGTGGAGCTTATCCATGTGTCTTTTTGTTTGGCACCTCCACCAGAGCCAGGCGACAGCCACCGAAGGTGACAGCAGTGTAGCCCAACAGCTTTCCGAGCTCATCATCAGACTACCTATTGGCAAGCTTCAGCCTGAGACCATCTGGTCTACCCTTTCTGCAGATTCAATGATCAAAACATAACAGTCCCCTCTGAGCGTCCAGGCTCCTCACCTTTTTCTGGAAGCCCATGGCGGGGATGTTACATCTCACAGCAGCATCTTCCTCATGATTGCAGCCCTGAGACTCAGCATTGAACTTGCAGTCTATAATGGACTTCTCATTCCCCGTGCACTCGATTTCATTGAGGTGGATGGGTCCTATCCCTAGGAATGGAAAATGAACATGCAGTATGAAACCTTCCACAAAAGTTTCTACAATGGGAAAAGAAGTCCCAGGCAGTAAGAACATGCCTCTCCCATCCTCAGAATGCTCCCAACTGCCTCCCACAATAGCTCAAAGACCCAGGCCTCTCCTATCTGGAGAAAATGTTGTCTTGGGAGTCACTTCCCCCATAAGAACAAAGGTTGTCACTAATTTATGTGACCTTGACCAACTCACTCAGCCTCTCTGAATGTTGGTTTTCTCACTGAAATAGAGAAGCTGGTCTAGAGGGCATCTAAGTTCCCTTCTCAACTTGTATACTCTGTGTATTGATGAATCCTAAAGGGGCAACTCTCACAGGGTAGTCGGACTCCCTGCAGGAAAGAGATGGCATTCTCAGAATGGATGATCTGAGTTACAGACAGGAATTTTAAAAATAAAGATATGAACAAAGCATGAGGAAATCACAAAATTGCAATGGATAGTCCATTGTGTGGGCTAATACCACCCCCAGGCCTGCAGGAAAGAAAAGTGTCAGTCACTCAGTCATGTCTGACTCTTTGTGACCCCGTGGACTGTAGCCCACCAGGTTCCTCTGTCCATGGAATACTCCAGGCAAGAATACTGGAGTGTGTGGCTGCTCCCTTCTCCAGGGATCTTCCCAAATCAGGGATCGACCCCAGGTCTCCCGCATTGCAGGCAGATTCTTAACCATCTGAGCCACCAGAGATGAGGGGAGGATGTTACTATCTGGTCCAGGAGAACAAAAGAGCCTTGTGGGGAGGTCACCTGTTAAGAGCCGTTACCCTCAGTGAAGGGACACAGCGACCCGCAGGGAGAATAAAGACCCAGCTCCTCCCCAACTCCAATCTCCCCCAGTGTTCCCTGCTGGCCACATCCAAACCTGCCTCCCAGGGCCCTGAACCACGTGGACAAGGAGGAGCGTGGAGCTGCAGGGGCAGACAGAAGACATCCCACAGGGACCCCTAATGCGCATGTGGGAAGCTTTCCGTGCAGGCACTGGGATGGCAAGGGGGAATTCCCCACTGCTGGGGAGAGGGAATTCCCAGTTTGTCAGCATTCAACTCGACTCACCTCACAAAACCACGTCTCCTCTGTCTAGTCCATCAAGCTGGACCCAGGTCTAGCTCTTTCTGGGAGCTCTGCGCTGCTCCGACCCCACCTTGGAACCTGCCCTGCTCCGTGATCTCCTCTCTCTCTTGATCTTCACCATCATCCTCTGGTTTGGGTCCATCCCTCAGCACTCATCTGATCCCATAAAACCTCCCATCTTTATGACGACCCTCCCCTGACCCCACACCTCCTTCTGGCCTGTCACTTTCCTCCCCTTCAGGAAGAACTTGAAAGAGTCATTTGCTTTTGTTATTTCTGCTTTCAGCAGGAGGACCTTTCCTAATCTGCTTCTCCACAGCATCTCCCTAACTCAGGAAGCAGCACCTCCATCCTCCTGGTTCTGGCCAGAACCCAGAGGCATCACCTCTTCCTCTTTTATCCACAGACAAGCAATCCATCATCATGTCCTATTCACTCCCCGCAAATCTCAGTGCTTTTCATTTCTGCCACCACCACACTCATCTAACTCTGTCACCTTCCATTTGGACAAATGACACAGCTTCGAGTCTCCCTCCTGCTTGCTTATTCCAAAATATTCCCTACACACAACCCAAGAGATTTTTTAATGCATGTTTAATCATGTCACTCCCCTGTCTTAATCCCTGTAATAGCATCTCACTGCAGTTCAGGGCACAATTAGTTCCCAAACGGTCCAAACAGGGACCGGCCTCCACAAAGCGTCCCAGCTATGCTTGCTCCTCCCCAGCTTGACTACATGTCTCTCCTTTGGCTACTCCCCCTGTCTGGACCCACTTCCTCCTTCTCAGCAGTCAGCTCCTGCTCAACCTTCAGGGCTCAGGTCTGATGTCACTTCAATGGCACAACCTTTCTAAGCCTCATCTAAGCTGGGTCCCCCCAGGTCACCTCCACTGAGCACTCCACTTCACGCTGTATTCTGCTGGCTGTCTGTTCAATGTCTGTCTGATCCCCCACTGGGCTGGAGGTCCCACAAGGGCAGGCACTACATCTACGTTCCTTGGGGATTACCAACCAGAGACTAGCAAATAGGATGTGCTGCAAACAGTGTCTAAATGGACACCCCTGACTTCAGTAAGTGTCTGTTGACTGTCAGCCTCTGTTGGGGACTCACAGAGGAATACAACAGTCCCTGTCATGACAAGCTCACAGTTCATGCCTGGGGGATGTAGACACTTAAGACAGACTTGTAATATAATGTAGTACATGATAAAGATGGAGGTGACTTTCTACACTTTGGAGCCCCATGGAGGGACCCTTGGCTCTGGGTTTCTGGAGACACCTAGGATCTAGACTCTGAGGCCAAAAATTAACTTCTAGGAGCAACCCACTGTAATGGGTAAGAGCCAAGTTTCCATTTCCTTGGAAATTCATAAATGAAGAAGCCTCCAATTCCTTGGAATTTTATAAAATTTATAAAAACACATCAGTCAGGACTTGCCTGATGTTCCAGTGGTTGAGAGTCTGTGCTTCCACTGCAGGAGGCATGGGTTCGACCTCTCATTGGGAAATGGCACATAGTGCAGCTCCCCCGACAAAAAATACCCCAACGAATACATCAGTCACTAGGGCTAGAAACACCCAAGGACTCAGAGCAGAAACACTGTGCAAAATACAGGTTCCAAACAGAGACTCTGAAGCAAGCAGGGCCATGGCTCATGAATTAAGATGGACTCAGAAACAGGAGGCAACCTAGGACTTGGATGTGCAGTTAGAGCAGAGGCTTGTTAGATGATTATGAGGATGATGGTGATGGTGGTGGTGATAATGGTGGTGATGGTGATGAAATGGAGGCGATAGTGGTGATGATGATGGTGCTGGTGGTGATAGTGATGATGGTAGTGGTGATAGTGATGATGGTGGTGGTGGTGATGATGGTGATGAGGATGGTGGTGATAATGGTGGTGATGACAATGACGGTGGTGGTGATGATGATGGTGGTGGTTGTGGTGATGATAATGATGATGGTGGTGGTGATAATAATGATGGTGGTGGTGATGAGGATGGTGGTGGTAGTGGTGATGGTGGTGATGGTGGTGATGAGGATGGTGGTGATAATAATGATGGTGGTGGTGATGAGGATGGTGGTGGTAGTGGTGATGGTGATGCTGGTGGTAGATGGTACTACTATTTCCTGAGCACTCACTATGTTTTGGATTCTGTCATAAATACATTGTTTATACTAACTCATTTCATCACCCCAGCAACTCAAGAGAGTGGACCCCACTTGGGACCAAGGATAAAGCAACGGCCCAACAGAGGAACCAGGACTCACACCAGGCAGTCTGACTCACAGCATGATTTTGCTGAGCTTCTGAAGTTCTTTCAGGAGAGTCAGGGGAAGAAGTCCTTTGCTGGAAAGAGCAGCAGATTGCTCTGGGAGAGAGCTGAGCAGCTGAAGTGCCTATGTTTTCCATCGTCTAGGGGTGCTTCCTCTGCCTCCTCCCTCCTGGAACACCTCCCCCTTTCTGCCCATCTAAGTAGAGGTCTGCCTTCAGGGAGCACTCTGAGCCCGTTCTCCTTTGTGGCTCAGCCTGAACAGCCTCACTCTCATCTGCAGCATTTACTTTTTACATCTTTCTCTCTCGCTTACAAAAGGCAGTGAGCTGCAGCTTCAGCCTTAGAGTAGATTCAGACTGCGTCTCCGTGGGAAGTGACAGGACCTTTCTGAACTCCATTTTCCCCATGTGTAAAACGCAATAACAATGTCTCTCTTGTAGGACTGGGCTTTTGAAGATTGAATGAGACCAGTTGTGTCAAGTTACCAGGGACTCAATAAATGATAAGAATTACTGGGTTGGTCAAAAAGTTCATTCGAGGTTTTCCTAATATTATCAGGATAATTTCTTATATATCATCACCTATTTGTTAGTGTAAAATGCCTTTGGTGCTACTTCTTATTTCATCCACTTGAGGTAACTTCCTGGAGAGCAGAAACCATTACTAGAAATGTCTGCAGAAGAAATGAATTCTCTGTTCCAAGCTCCAGCCCAAATAGTACTCAACAAATGTGTATGGACTGCTAAATTCTGAGACTGGACAGAAGAGCAGAGATTAACACAAAAGCCTTAACACTTCAGACTCCAACTAACAACTGCTTGGGGCTTCCCAAGTGGCTCAGTGGTAAAGAATCCGCCTGCAATGCAGGAGACCCGGGTTCGACCCCTGGATCAGGAAGATCCCCTGGAGAAGGAAATGAAACCCACTCTAGTATTCTTGCCTGGGAAATCCCATGGACAGAGGAGCCTGGTGGGCTGCAGTCCATGGGGTCACAAAGAGTCGGACATGGCTTAGAGATTAAGCAACTGCTTAGTCTCCTACTGGCCTAACTGATGTAAACTGATGTGGCTATCCCTAGACATCTGGGGTCCACGCCTGGGAGGGCATACTCACTTTCCTGAAGCCTGCACATTCATGGCACACCACGGCAGAGTGCAAAGATGGAAGAGCCAGGATTTCTTACATTCTTCCCTATACCACCCAGTTTTGCTGTGAGTCGAGCAGGGTGTGAGGTGTTACTGAAGAATAACCAGCCTGGATGTCCAGCCGAGCTCACCCAGCAGTGTCTGTGAGCTCCTAGCTCCTTTTGTTGATCTGGGTTTGACCCGCTGCATCATGAACCCCAGCTTTCCCCTTATCCTGGGTTCTGGACTGTCCATCCACTCACTATACCTCCCCCAGCTTCACCTTGGCCTTGCTTTTCCCCAACCTGAACCCTGTGACCACAGCCCCGGGGCAGAAGGATGTGAGACAGAAGCCATGGCCAACCTCTCAGAACAATGTTATGGACTTTGGACCCACCATCAGCTGCAGGTTGCCATTAGTTCTTGAAGATCGCAGTAGAACAGACTCGGATAGTGCAATCTGTTCTGCGTGTTAGCACTGTTTCTGGAGGCTTTTGTTCAGGCTTTACGTGCACAGCATATGCTCTCGGTATTTCTGATCAGAGATTTCAGGCCAAAGGGTCTGAAAGGGACTGATCTCAAGGGGCTCCATCCAGCACAGTGGCTGCTGCCTCACGGAGCCCCTGGAATGTGGCCAGTCCAGACTGAGATGGGCTGCAAGCGCAAAACGCATCCTGCCTTTTAGAGAGTCAGTACCCCACCTGCGAACTTTCTCATTAAGAGCATTTATACTGATCAAATGTTGAAATCAAAATATTTTGGAAATATTATATATATTATTAAAGAAAATAGATTACTTAAAAGAATTTCACCTGTTCCTTTTTATTTGTTCTTTACATGACTACTAGAAAATAACATTACATATGTGGCTTCAAATAGTTGGACATGACCAGGCGACTAACACTTTCCATTTTATGTCTATGGGATAGCATGGGTCTGGAGTGTTAGAATTTTCTTTCGGCTGCACTGCTTGGCATGCAGGATCTTAGGTCTCCAGCTAGGGATCGAACCTGGGCCCCCTGCAGTGGAAGCACAAAGTCTTAACCACTGGGTCACTAGGGATGTCTGGGAGAGTTGGAAATTCTTGACCAAGTGGTTGTTCAACTGATCCTGCTTGTGCAACTGGAACTCATTCATTTATTCTTGATAAAATGAATATCCCCAGAGCACTACAGGGCTTCCCAGGCTGCACTAGTGGTAAAGAACCTGCCTGCCAATTTGGGAGACAGAAGAGACATTGGTTTGACTCCTGGGTGGGGAAGATCCCCTGGAGGAGGGCATGGCAACCCACTCTAGTATTTTTGCCTGGAGAATCCCATGGACAGAGGAGCCTGGCGGGCTA